CGATTACACAGGTTGGTGCAATCAAGCAATGGTGTGACTACACCGTAACAAGAAGCAACCTTGTGGCAGGATTGCCAGTAGTAATGCATATTACTGTATTTATTAACTATATTAGTAAGGTAATCCTATATTAATTTAAAAACCTAACGTTTTAGATATTGGCGGCTCTGCCGCAACTAAAACGATTTGATACGGTTTCAATTTTGAACGAAGATAATCTATACCTTGTTCCAGGGTTTAGGTACTCCAAAGGTAGCGGCTTGCGATTTGCTACCCTTGTAGAGATTCTTGGAAAGAACGTATGGTCGGTGACCTTAGCTTAGCTCCCTCTAAGTTAAGAGCAACAGCAGCTCCGCTGCACTTGGTTGAACTCGTAGACAATCTACGCTTAAGTCGTTACGACTGATCCTCTGGCATGCAGGATGGGCATATAAACTGATGTCCCTACTATGCCCTGAGGGCGTGGTGCGAATCTTTTTGCAAGGGCCCGAGGCCATAAGCGTGCGACTGGAGGCATTTTCAAATGTTAAAAATTCTCTGTTATAGCACGTACAGCGATGCTGTCAGTGTCGACTTCGTCTATGACGCCACCATCGACGACGGAAGATTCCTTCCGGTACAGGCCGCCCATGCTGAGCGTTAAGTCCTTCGAGTGTAAAGATGGAGAGAATCTCCTGCTCTAGATAAGAGAGGCCGCGATGGCTATGACATCCACCATGCTGCAAAACCAGCAACAGCACATGGCGCTAGCTATCTCCAAGCTCGGAACCCGAGTGCAAGATTAGGCACCAGCGTGTGGTGCTTCGGTTGAAGCGGCGTTCTCCTCCTGGAAGGAGCTGAAGCGTCTGCTTTTGCGAGTGTTTTCGCCGCCTTATGGGGCACATCGTGTTAGATCGCGTTTTTTCTGCTCGACAGGGCAATAAGAGTTGGTGGTCTTTGTCCAAGAGTTAAGAACTTCCATTTCCGGGATGACTGCAGATCCCATCCCGAGGCGTGGAAAGTGATCGTCTTTATGGAAAGCCTCCGCACTGGTGTGGCCAGAATGAAAGTCTTCCGTGCGCATCCTTCTCATTTGGAGGAGCGCTGAACGAGGCATGGAATACGAATTCAATTTTAAGTCGGCATGACTGGGTCGGAACGCACCCCTCGGAGTTCGTCGAGCGGGCCTGAGCCAATGGATCTCAGCTATGCTGAGAAAGAGGAGGGACAGCTCCGAGCTGTCAAGCAGCGTTTAAAGACCCGACGGTGTTTCGTCTGTGGAGTCATCCATTCTCTTCGGGTTGGGCCCAGCACTGAATGGCTCCGTGTTCTTGAACATGGCCCGTGTTTGCAAGCCGGGCTTGCTGGTAAAGTCAACCGTGAATTGTTTGAGAAGTCAGGGAAAATCCTTATCGATTCCGGGGCGTCGGGCAATTATGCTTGGAC